GCCCCCCCCCCCCACTCCCGAATGGAATAAAGGTGAGATACGACTAATGATAGGTTGGCAGGGTGCGAAGAACAGTAAAGAAGTCGAGTGACGATGATGGGGTTCAAACATGAGACTTCTAAATCGATGTGATGATGATCCATACGGCTTCATGGAGTAATCATTTCAGAAAAACACTTGTTAGAGAGTTGATAACTAGAGCCATGGTAGGATTTTAAAAACTCATCAAATGATAGGGTGCGTAAGGATTTGAAGATTTGCAACATCATTGCGGCTATCTCAAATTGCACAACTATAAAATGGACTGGTGAAGAAGCGATGTATGTGACAATTCAATGTGGATAGCCAATAATGCAACATTGCACGAGTGATGGATAGATTGATTCTATTGCAGTGTAGAAAATTGCAGCCAAACAAAGGTTTGCTTCCGGGTACTAATCGAAGGATATCACAATTCTATTAGTCTACTGCTATCTTAATGAATAAATAGTTATACAAAAGATTTTCAGGAAATAGAAAATTCATGGACTACCATATGATACGATTAAAATGAGGGAAGTTAGACGGTGGTAGCGGTTGTATTAGCAATGAGTTTCAGGTGATATGGTAATGACTTTAGCAAACTACCAAGACGGTACTACCTCAACAATCACAATACCTGCTTATTTTTCTCCTTATATCCACGAGCCAAACGATGTAGCTGCTGAAAACGTGACTGTATATCGATCGATTGCGCTTCGGAGTGGAAAATCGATGAGGTGATCGAAGCGGCATCCGAATCTTTGTACGATTCATCCGCGACGCGAAAACTTCCCGATGCACTGTAGATAGCGGCACCACGTTCAGGGGCAACAACAATGGATACATTGGAATTGGATGCGTCCGCATCTACACTAGCCGAGCAACTCAACTGACTGTTCACTGAGTTGATTGATGAGGTCCGCGCACGGCCTTGGTGGCTGTTGTTGTTGCTATTCGCAGAAGACTGAAAGTGAAATATCAGAAGATGAAAACGATGTGACTCTGGAGCTCCTTCAAAAAAAAAAAGAACTCGAACAGGAAAGTAAACAACAATGATAGATATAAACAGAAACGTGTAGGTTATTCTTACACTTTTGCGTTTAGGAGAAGCACAGCATTGGAGTATGTGAAAACACTGAACATTTATAAAAATAAACAGAAAAGTCGAAAATGAAGCATGAAAATTGCGCGTGAAAGTGAAGTCGGTGGGTCAAAATCACTGTCTAAAGGATTGAAAAATCTTTAAGTAACATCAAACTGCAAGGTGTGGCTAAACGCCTCACTGATTGGTGGATCTTTTTATGAGATTGGCAATACTGAATGCGAAGAAAAGCCATATTTAGGCTGTTTTGTACGTGTTTTCGTCCGTATAACTCACTAAAAAATATCTATCAGTCCAATAAAATCGGGGCATAAGAAAGTTGTGCAGAAAATTGTGGTAAAAGCTAGTTTTAATGATTTTGGTTACTTTAGATGTCATTGGCAATAAAAAAGATGTCATTCACGGAGAATATTGTGGAAATTGATTTGTACCTCTCTCTGTACCTCTCTGCAATCATCAACCTTACCCAAATCCCGTGACAATTTTTTTCCTTTATCTCAGAAAAGAGCTCCGTGTTGTACAGACAACAATCATTCCCCTATTCACAAATTAAGATTTCTTTGCTTTATTAGCGATAACGATTTGATCACTGTCGATCTGGATACGAATTTTGTGAGTTTAATCTTCTGCTCTTNAGACATGTTAACTACCATCTGACTCACTCAGGCCTTGTGTAACAGGTCACATATCGAACAGCGATGATAGGACCAACCGGTTACTCATATTAAACCCGGTCTGAGCAGATGTTGTGAGAACATAAGACAACTTGTTCAGATTGAGAAGAGGATACATACTAACGGAAGCGATGTACACAGTTATCTTATATCAATTTTGCGGCTCGGACTTCGGATGAGATAAATAGTCGGATCAATGCAAACTTGAGAGTTTTATTCGTCAAACCTGTAACGCACACCCAGTGCTGTCTAGAACAAATGTTTACATCCCTAACCCCGATTCTCATTATTGAGCGGTACATCATGGATGCTTTTCTCTGCTGTAGTGATTATTGGACCATAAATTGTTTGGCACAATTTGAATCTTATAGTCGGTGCAGGAATTCACAGCAGTCCATTCTTTAATCGATAGGATAAGCCAGCTCCAGATCAAGAAGATGGAGTTCCTTGGGAGTTTGTCACGAGAGACGTCCCCAGGGTCACTCGGCGTTTGTTATTTTGGGGCGCACCTCTAGCCTTCGCACAACCAAGTGTGAACTGCAAAGTAGCAGGAAGTAAGCCCTCGCCTCGGGAGTGAGGGGGTCAATGACTTTAGTTTTAAAAGGCCAGTCACATCGACCTTTGTCACAACACCGTCATTGGGCTTATGTGGCTCTTAATCAGGAGCCAGATGGTCAGCCTGAAACCCACCACACCCTGGTAGTACCGCCGCTCTTTGTTCGCGACTGTTTATTTGTTGCGGTATGCCACAACTTATTCAGAGTTAACCTTCTTCGGTGAAGGTATCCTCCTATCCACAACCCGGGACGCGCCTGGTATCATCCAGCTCTGCTTACCCGAGGGTATCCAGGGACAGAGACTGAGCCTCCAAAAGCCTCAGTATGGTCGAGGGTGGGTGTCTAGGGTTTCGGTTGGTCACCCTTCCCTTGCATCTTGCGAAATGCCTCCATACGACCAAGCGTCTCAAATAGACTCTGCTGAGGAAGACCTACTCACTGCCTTCTCGTGGAGGACGTGTTTTCCCACCAAAGTGAGAGGACGAAAAGCCGACAGCCGGGTTGGTGAACCACTGGTAGTTCACCTAGAGGAGTTGGCCAAAAACCCTGGTTACAAACGAACAAAGAAGAGGTGTACGAACCACACAAACAACTTCCTGGTTGTGGTCACAGGCTCCATTGGGCATCGAGCTGTATTGGGCACATTGGACGTTTGACCCCGTCCAAAGGGCGTATGGTCCGATGAACTGCACACCGGCTCCCAATGGATTGCAGTTTTCGCTTTGGCTAGCCGGAGGCTCCTGTTGTGGATTCCTCAAGAAAATTCACCTGCCTTGATTTGGGCAGTGTGACAGTATTCCGCCCACACGCAGATCATGGAACGTTTTTCTTTTTTATAAAGATTATTGCACCATGATTCGTTTGGCACACAGTTTGAATTCAAACGTGTTTGAAAATAAATGAATAAATAACAGGGGTTGAACTAGTACATCCCCAACAGCATTTATAGCAGAGATGAAACTGTGATGCTGTGCTTATCCCGCAGCGAGCACAGTGGACTAGCCCCATTTCGACAAACATTTTGCAGCGAGTGCGTTTTGGCGCGGTCTGACTGCTTTCAGGATCTTTTTACCTTAGCTGGTTGACTAATTTAGCTGGAGGCAATAGTAAAGGAACAAAAAGTCAACCGATCTCAGTGGGTCAGATAAGAAATGAGTCGCGATACGATGAATCGATAAACCGTTAACCACGATCAACCGTACGTGTGGACATGAACCATTGGATAGACTGTTTCGGCCTTGACCCCGAATGCTTTGGTGCGCAAAATCCCACGGACACCATGCTGTCTTGAATCGGACCAGTTGTTTTGTTTCTAATACAAATTTTCAAGCATTGAACGGTACATATAACAAAGAACCTAAAACCGGCTCTCAGGTATGAAACAAGAAATAGCAACGTTTGCATACCATGGCGAAACCAGATTCAAATGCAATTACATACGAAATACTGAAATTTGTTCTTTTGAAATTTTCTATCAAATTGTATCTGCAAGACCGATTGTGACTCACTGATACCTATTGACCCATTTGAGTCAGTTGATAAAAATTCGTAGTAACTATAATCGTATTGCATCGTATTGCGGAACACGGATTCATGTGATAAAATGAGACGTTTGCGAGACTTTCAATAGAAAAACAAAAGATAACTGTTTGTTTTCTATCTGATACCTTACTCCTCACACTTTTTAGAAACATCGTCCCTTCCTCCCACGATAGAAACCTGTCTGGCCTTGATGTAATCGATTGCACTTTGTTTAAAAATACCACCTTGTGCGAAACGAATTTGTATCATTCAAATTAATTTCTTCTGTATGGCTTCCATGGTAGACGAGAAATTGCGGGGAAAACTCGGCAGTGCTAATACCATTTCATACAACATGGTAGGTATTCAAAAATACACGATCAACTACTAGGTACTAAAGAGCTCCTATTTTGAAACAAGTATTTTCTTTGTTGACTGAGCAACACGCCAGATTAATGGTCCGTTACGAGGCTGAAATGTGTCAAGATTAAATCGGAATGCAGAAATAAGTGATTCTTTCAGCTCATGAGTATCACAATAAACTGCTTTTGGGTTATGTTCACCTTCAAGGAGTTAGGTTGTGTACTGTGATCACAGTGGAGATTCTTTGGTATAAAGGTTAATGTACCGTGTGCTGTTTGGCACAGTCTGGATTCAAGGTATGAAATAAAATGCAACCCTCGGAGGCCTGGTTTATTCACTACGCCGTCTCAAGGCATCAGTTGCTGGATTCAATGATCACCAGCAAGTTTAGCGGGATTCAGTCTTACTGATTATCAAGCAGTAGTGCAAAGGTAAAACCTGATCAGATCTGGCGGGACATTAACCGATCAAATAGGCATTCAGCAATTCCAAAGATTGCTACAAGATCCCCCATTTACCACTTTCAACGAACTCGAGCTGCAATTTTGTTCCCATTCTCGACTTCAAATAAATGTTACCATATCTCAAAAAACGGGAATTACCCAAATCTACTCAGCACGAGCTTGGAAAATAAAACAGGAGTAATTCGGAAGATTTAAATGTTGTATGCTATGGTTGCTTGGAAGAGTAGTGCTGTGTGCCACCGGACACGCCCTCAGATCGCGGATAGAAGAACGGTTGTCATCTCCAGGCTAACCGTGATCAAGGTGGGCTTAGAGCCCATCGAATAAGTGGTCGCGGNGCGGAAGCGCTCAAAGATATGGTGGGTTTACCTTTTGGCAAGGGTTCTCCGCACAAAGCACCACAATTATATTCGGACAGCGCTGTGACGTGGCGAGTGTGATCCGACATTGAGTATGACTATTGTCATTTTTCGAGACCCACTGTTTGATAAGATTTTCCAGAAGAGATGAATGAACCGGAAACTGGCCACTGGCTCATCTGGAACATCACTGCTGCCTTGTAGTCCACGCTTGGTTGCACAAAGCCTAGAATGCAACCTCCAACAAGGCCCACTCTGCACCAGGCAACTAAGTGGTACAATAGCCCACAGAGCACACGATCATGAACTTTACTGCTCTTATGACTCTGCACTCTAAAGCTTCCTCACTCAGGGAAGAGCATTCTACACCGTTCACATACGTTTCCCCTGCCTTCGTCCATATTACGTTCGCCCCCTTAACATGCCTCCGTCTCCTTCGGGTGTTTCAGACGATTGCACTAACAGTGGTGCCTCGAGTGGAAATTATTCAGCTCCTTTCCAATATCCCAACTCGGTTAACGTCCAACTCGATTCGATAACGGAAACAGACCTAGCCTCTTGCACGACTATTGACATCAATTTGCTTCCAGATGTCAGACTGTTTGATTTGAGTGTGCGGACCACATTTTACTGTTAATAACACAATGAGGGCGAACGTATGTTTTCGGTGAATTCCTTTTCTAGCCTTTACAATCACATTTATATGAGAGACAATTTGAATACGGTCAAACAGAAAGGTGAATGAGTCATGTGTTTGGCAATGAGCCCAAGAGAACTACAAATGTGTGCACTGTTTGGATCACAACCAAAGTCGTTACGTCATGGCCGTATGGACAAGCGATCTTCTCTTCCCCTGGCCAGGGGAGTTTGAGAGCTTGAATCAATTAGCGTTGTGCGCACAGCTCAGGCTTCATGAGTCGGATGCTAATCGCCTCTGCGGTTGCTAACGTCCGAAACGGTATTGCTCTCAAGGGGTGCGGTGAGACTCGATAAATGATTGTAAATTCCGAGCGTATGTCAACCAAGTGTCCCGTCTCTCCCAGATGGACAACGATCGAGCTTGACACAACTCCACTCCCACTCTGTGTGAGCCAACGTGGATTTTGCTCTCTGATCTGTTGAGATAACTGCCTTGTCATTCGACCTACATAAGTCAAGCCCGATTGCACTTGAATTGATAGACAATCATAGCTGATGCCCATGTCGAGTCAGAATTCAACACAGCACATTTGTTAATCAAGTTTACAACTGAATCAGAGAAGAATGATCGCCTTCCGTTATTCGATGTTCATTTGACTAGACGCTTCGATGGCTCTATCCAAAGAAAGATATATCGAGAAGCAACATGGAGTGGACAGTACACACATTTTCATGGCTTCCTCCCACTTTATCAAAGACGTAACGTCATACACTGTCTCCCGTAGAGAGCAAGGTGCACCTGTTTAGAACATACCTTAAGGACAAACTTGAACTAGTAAGGAGAAAATGGCTATCATGAGAAGTTTATCGACCGTAATTGGATTGAACAGAATAAGCCAAATAAAATGCCAAAAGCGGAGAAAATGTTTTTTATAAAACTTCCATTCAAAAGGGGCGCTCGTCGGCACAAGACCTCCCCACAGCCGATTCAACTGTGTAAATACTGCCAGTTGACATCAGTCCTCTGACTGAAATAGTTACCCGAAAAATAAGCTTTCTCAAAAGGTATAAGGCTTTCGGCCCCGACGGGCTGTCCCCATCGGTTTTTAAGGATGGAGGTCTAGCCTTGGTATTTAGAGTTAACAAAACTCCTGGGTTCAGTGTGGGAAAAGGAACAGGTTCCAACTAATGGTGTGAATCGGTGATCATACCGATTAACAAGAAGGGCGACAGGTCCTCCCATGAAAACCATAAAGGAATTAGTTTAATTAACATTGCTTCTAAAATTCTCGCCGGAATCCTTCCTATTTAACTTTATTATAGATTTCATTCTTAAAACAGCCCTATCCTCGTGCAGGGATAGCGGTATCGATTTACTACCAGGGAGCAGACTGTCTGATCTACAGTATGCAGACGACATTTTGTTACTAAATGAAGATTCAGATAAGTTGCAAGCTTTTCAAGATAGTTTGAGTGCTAGTGTAGCGATGTTCGGCATGCGCTTTGCACCTTCAAAGTGTGAAATGGTGCTCCAAGATTGGGTTGGCCCAGTCGCCAGCCTCAACCTGATAGGGGAAGTTGTAGAGGAAGTAGACAGGCTTTGCCACCTGGGCAGCTAGATCTCACCTGGCGGACGCATCACAGATGAAGTGTCGGCGCGCATACGGAAAGCTCGGTTAGCATTTGTCAACTTGAGACATCTGTGGCGCCGTCGCGACACCCCGTTGTCCCTGAAGGGTAGAGTATACACTGCAGCAGTCCGGCCAGTTCTGCTCTACGGTGCAGACTTGGCCACTAAAGGAACAGGATAAAAATAGATTATCGGTGTTCGAACACCGCTGTCTACGCAGCATTGCACGAGTCTGGTGGGGAAACCGGACGAGCAATGTTGAGGTTAGGCGTAGAGTTTTAGGTAATCGCGGTCGTCCACATAAACAGATAGTCGGCCTCCATAGACTA